GGGGGGGTTCCTTGTTGTTGTTTTTTCTTTTAGGCTTTTCCCCTGTTTTCCTTTCGTTTCACCTCGCGATCTTATTGTAGTCTCGTGGATATTCTTATTGGTTTAGTTTGTTTTTGTCTTGTTTTGTTTTATTTTTCCATGTATTTTTTTTTTCTGGGTGAGGCTCTCTCATTCCGAACACCTGTATCAGCTGTCTGAGGTGTCCCCGTGTGCTGCGAGCGGGCGACGGGCGCTCTGACCTGGGTCCTCTCGCTGCATAATAATACCCTTAATTGCTTTTTGTTCCCGTTAAAAGGAAGCCTCACGTCACCGTCGTCGTCTGTGATGTTGCTGTTAGGCTCCTCGCTGTTGTGTGCAGAGGATATCTGTTCCATTCTTGAGTGGGACACTTTTATTTTTTGTTGGTATTTTGTTTTGTTTTGTTGTTGTTGTTGCTGCTGTTGTTGTTGTTGTTGTTGTTGTTGTTGTTGTTGTTGTTGTTGTTGTTGTTGTTGTTGTTGTTGTTGTTGTTGTTACTTATAATATTAGGTAGAGCCTATTGGGTAATCACATCCGGCCTATTATTAGTTACTGTTAGCCTACTACTACGTTACTATTACGATTACTATTATTATTATTGTTATTATTCTTATTATTATTGTTACTATTATTAGTAGATCTACTTGTTCTTGTTTTTTAGTTTTTTTCCTTTTTGAGTCCTGAAAAAATATGTCCAGGCCAGAAACCAATTACACTGTTACAGGAAACACCACCGCTAAGTCCTTCTTTTCTTCATTGAAGTCTTTCCTCGTGGGCATACTCCGCCAAAGTGAAGTTGTCCACAGAAGCTTTTGTTCTGGGCATCTGCGTGGTTGGGCCTCATGTCAGGCGCCCAACTCCACACAGAATTTCTCTCGATCTCTCTTGCCCTTTTTAACTCCCAGTGGAACATAGGCCATCAACAACATTGCTCCAGCGAAGCCTGTCCTGAGCGTCCTTTTCTAGCTGTTTCCATAATGTCCCCGCTTTTTCAATTTCCGCTTGTACCGCTGGCCTCCGTGCACAGAATATTACCTCCGTGTCATCTTTAGTCTTCCCTTCTTACGTTTTCCTTGTGGGTTCCACGTTAAAGCCTACCTGATGATGCTTGTCGGGGTTCTCCTCAGGGTGTGTCAAATCCATTTCCATTTTTTCACCTGTATGTCTTCCTTTACTGGCCTTTGGCTTGTTCTTTGCAGTTGAGCATTAGTGACTCGATCGTACCACTTGATCCCCACTATCCTTCATAGGCACCCATTTACGAAGCTCTACAGTTTCCTTGCTGCTGATGCTGCGAGCCTCCATGTCTCTGAACCATACAGTAGAACAGCCACACATAATAGGCCTACAGAATTTGATAGTTTAAATAATAAAGTAATTGGCGCCTGCTTCAGCAGCCGACAATCAATCCAGCCTGATTGTGAAAGCTCTTGTGCTGAGATCTGTAGTGTGAGCGTGTATGTGCGTGCGTGCGTGCATATATATGTATGCGTGCGCGCGCGTGCGTGTGTGTGTGTGTGTGAGAGAGAGAGAGGGGAGAGAGACAGAGTTAGAGAGAGAGAG